AAGGACGCGCTGCGCGCACGGGATTTGCTTTGGAGGAGTAGAAGCGCAGGGGGACAACAGGCTGCCACCCTTGGGTGTCCTCTTAAAGTGCAAAGGCACCTTCATCATCGCTCTGAGGCCCTCAAACTCATTTTAAGCGTAAGCAATGTACTCATCTGTGCCGTAAGAAACACAATATAAAGTATTTACAGCCAAAAAATGACACCAGCTGGATGTTGAGCCCTGAGGAACACAGTAAGCAGCTAAGGCCTTGAAAAATCAAAATAATTCCTAACACAAGAATAATCTTATCCCATACTCTACTTTTAACCATAAGCAGGAAATCAAGCTAAAAAGCGAAATGAAGCACTGGCCCTAGATCCCTTCCAAAAATGCGCCATGTGCACAGATAAAATTGGCCTTGTGACATTTTTCATACTGCAGCCCAAACCTGCTGTAATTCTGTTCTCATGGGACCCATCCAAGGGACGGGAGCAAACGCAAGACGCTCTTACCGGTAGCGGCCTCCTTCCCGAAATGCCTGCAACGGGACGTGCATATCTTGAAGGTTTGTTTTCCAAAACCTATTCCAGCTCCCACGGACCCCAGAATGACGTCAGGACTTGGATTTCTTAGATTTCCTCAGCTCTACGCCTCTCTCAAGCGCTCGTGGTCCGTATATCCTCCCAGCAAAAGGGAAGCACGATGACTTATCGCCTCTGAAGGCCCTGATAACGCCACATATGTTAATGTCAGATGCTTGAAATCAGAGTCGAAATTCATTGCAGCCAGAGATCAATCCCTGCACAAAAATAAAATCCATGGCTGCGGTGCATCCTGCCCACGCCTGCTGCTTCTTGAAGCTGTGGAGGTCTAAATGTTAACCCTAAATCCAAATTTTTGGAATTTTTAATATCAGTTCCTAGCCATACTCAACACCTCCTGTTCATCTAGTCTTTGAGATGTAAAAACTGATAGTCTAACTATATATTGCTTTATATTACATATACATAAACTCTATATACATATACACACACAGAGCTGAATATATATATATCTCTTATTTGAACTGGACTATCTTTTACTGGAAATGGGAAGAAACGGTCCCCTCCAGACACCTCCCGAAAACTGAAGGCTACAAGGCAGAACCACTGGGGAGATTTATAATCTCATCCTAATAAAACCCTTCGCCTGAAGTCCAGCAGGGGCATGAATCACCAAGCAGGAAAAACATTAATTCCTGTTACCCCAGCCCGCTTCCACTCCCGGGCTTCTGAAATCTGGCAGCTCTTGAAGATCCATCACCCCGAAGCCTGATCCCAATCTTAACCTTAAACTTGCTGAGATACAGAGACTGATCTGTAGCATAAAACAAAACATATGCCTGAATCCTCACGGATGCTATCCATCTTGCTAATTCCACGCACACTCCTAATTCCAAAGAAATCATCCAGCCTTGGACTTCCAGATCTCCAAGCCCTCATCTTTGATTGAAGCAAACCCTATTGTGAAAAGGGATTGTTTAGGGAAGGAGAGGAATCAACTCCCCCTCAGGACCACTCGTGCTCCCAAATATCAATGGCCTTGAGAAACAGGCAATTAAGGTCTGGATTTGTAAAGCCCGGCTCGGTTCCAGCCTCAAGCTTAATTAAAAATTCCCAGTCCATGAAATTTATTCTTATGCTTGATATGGGTGTCTGTCTTATTCTGTATAAATCCCACAAGTAGAGTCTTTAGCAATATTTTCAATGGACTGTATGGAATTACGGCAGTGAATCAAAATCAAAGAGTCTGGAAAAAAGCATTTTTCTTCCTAAACAAAATAGAATGACTGGCAGATATAAGCACTGAAAACTTCAGATGAGTAATGCAGTAACTTATTAAAATCTATAAAAGATCAAAACCAGGTGTACAATAGAGAAAGTGGCAACTTATCCAAACTTTCCCTTCTAAAATATCAAGATACAGTATTCAGTACTGCCAAGGGAGTAGCTCTTATAGGAAATTACTCTTTGTCCTTGGAGGCCTTCCTGCTGAATTCACATCAGAATGGTTACTGCTCATTTCTGACTGTGCAGTCGAACAGCAACATGAATAAAAAAGGTCCAAAAAAGAAAAAATCTTCTCAAAAAAAGTACAAATTACAGAAGACCTCTGTGTGATAAAGGTGAAAGCTTAAGAAAAGATATGATTTTTTTACAGTAACATAAATATGATGTCTAAGTGTTAGGCAAAATTTCTCTACCAATAATTACTCTTATGTTATACAGACATCTAAAAACACCCTTTTCTCTGAGATTTACAACCTTCTCCTACCCCTTGCCTTTTTTTTCTTTTTCATTTTACTTATTCTTACCCTTTTGGCATCCTTCATGCTGACAAAATCAGAGGGGAAAAATATTTTCTTTCCTTCAAGCTCCTGCTTCTTCCTGCTATAATTCACTGGGGAAGCTGGTCTGTAAAATAATAACATGGTATTTAATTCATTTTGTGATACATTTTTCTTAGGGGGAAGTCACTTCTTAACCAGCATGAGCACAGACAGACCCCAAATAGTAATCACTTCACTAGACTCAAACTATGGAGCGTGGGATAATTCATGAATTTCATGAAAGTTGAGCATTTCTGGTGTTGTTAGGTCCTGTTTGACCCATCGTCTCTGAAAGGTTTCTCTCACCTGCTGCTTCCTGCTGCAGAAGTCACGGCATTACTACTAATAATTTTACAAATCACAGAAATAAGGGGCATTGACATTTCCCTGTTCTGAAAGCCAGGGTACTTAAGGACTCTTTAAAACTGCAGCTTTACTGCTCTAACCTGCACACACAAGGCCGAGGGGGCTGCAGGGAGGGACGAGACCGATGGGGAGATTCAGAGCCGGGAAATTTCCTTTGGGCGATTACCGGACGTGTCAGAAAAATGAAGCGTCAGCCCCCGTTCCCGCAGCCTCCACGAGGGCTTTTTGCCTCCTCTACCTCATTCTCCTTCCCCGGCCAAACAGCGAGGCAGTTTGGCAGGAGAGCAGCAGCCTGGCAGGCTCCGCTTGCGAAATCCTCTCCGTGCTCGTGTCCTGCAAGGCCGGAGGCCCCTCTGACCAGCCGGGAGCCTAATGCACATGGAAAGCAAAGCAACGTGGTCCTACCAACTGAGCACATCCAGCAGGCAACAAATGAAGCAGCTACTCACAGGTGTCGTGCTGTGAGTCACGGGGATTCTGCTACTTTGCTATAAAACCCTCCCCATCAGGCGCTGATCCTGTGCAGCCACCCTAACTTCCTCTCTTCACAAGTTCTTAGGGTTCCTCAGATAGATAACCTTTTTCCCCCCAGAAAATATGCCTTTTCTCTATCAAGTTTAGAGTCATCTCCACTAGAAAGTGGATTGAAGCTATTGTTACAGGTAAGAAAGGCAAGACACAAATACAAATAAAATGAACCTATATTTCTTTGCCCCAAATAAATCCTATAAAGTCTCCCTGCCTCAGGTTTCCTTTCCTGAAGAGGACAAGGCCAGCAGGACACAGAGAGTGGGATAATATATACATTACAAAGCTATTTTAGCATAAAAAAGCACTAAAGCCGTGCAAATCGTATTGGTCCAAGAGTGGAAAGCATCCAACCACATGCCTAAAGCCATTCCTTCTCAGAGATGCCTACGCTCTTAAGAGACTTAAGCTCAAGTGCTTTCCTTAACTGGAATCAGTGTGTTTGGGACCATATTGATTATTTCAGGAAAACGAATTTATTTTAGAATTTAGGTAACGCCACAAGACAGATGCACCCAAGTTCCCTGTCCTCTAAGATACTTGTAACTAAAGACCAAAGTCTTTTTAAAGACCAAAGGCACCAAACTTTCAAAGCAGACCCCAATAACCACTATTAGCTCTGGGATGAGGAGGGAGTAGAGTCACAAATACTGTGCCAACATAGATAAACATAGAAACTCTTAAAATAATTCCAGTCTCTTCCATCCATTTACATTATAACAGATTGCCTGACCTGGTGATGGGACCAAACTCCTAGATTTTTAACCAAAACCTCAGCAAAATTTCCATTCATTTCAATGAAAAGTTACACACGTTCAGCCTAGAAATGATGAATTATTCTCATTGCACGATTTTTGGAGGAGAAATGCTATCAGTAGCAGATACTACCGCATAATTTTAGGCTACTGTCTCCTAAGCTTCATTTGACAGGAAAGAAAATACACTCATCTTTTTGCCGATAATGATATATGTTTTTTTTTGCTATGCAATATCTAATGCCTTCCAGATGCCCTCAGTACTTGGGACAAACTGTTCGTTTCACTCAGAAGTTAAAATGTGTTTTGACTGGTAAGCCTCTATTTAGCCCTTTTCTGTAATCGTTTTTCTTAATGGGAGTATTTTCCAGATGTTGTGTCAGTCTAGTCATCCGGGACCCCTTCCAGCTCAAGTGGAAAGTTTGCTGTCATAAGCTGTCACTGGCGGTTTTGTCTAACAAGCGATTTCACTAATTAACCCCAGCACAGCTTTATAAAGCCATATATAAGGCATCAGAAGCAGCACTGACAGCAGACACATCCTCTGTCAGGTAAGTGCAGCACCTACCTCTGCTCCAGCTCTTTGAATTGCAGTGCTCTTTTGTAAGGAAGATGATGGTCTACAGCAGGAAAACCAGCCAGGTTTTCCTTTAAAGGAAGGAGGCTTGCTTTTATCCTGCTTTGGAGCTGTTTAAATAGCTAATATTTGGATGACAGACTGTGATTTACAGCTTATGTTGCTTAACTACTGCTCTGACAGTAAAACTTTAGATCCTCAGAGCTGTATTTATCAAGAAACCACTGTACTGAATTCATGCTAAATATCTATATCTATCTATCTATATAGACTGTAGATTTCACCTAACAGAGTACTGGAAGAAATTATTCCCCTTATTTGTCAATAATTAATTTTCCCAGTCTTGTTACAAAATTTAATAGCTAATCCACTGATAAGAAAGACAGGGTTCATGGAGTCATTATAAATCAGCAGCTTCTCATCGCACAGCTTCAAGATGAAGTTCAGGCTATCACCAGCCTGTTAGCAAGATATGTATTTCATTATTTTTTTGAAAATTGTGACCTGACGGATCGATTTGGAAGCAGGGAGGATGTCGTACCTGAGAGCAGCCTGCCACGTGCTCTGCCTGGGCCTGCTCATCCTTTCCACGGCCTTGGGGACAGAAGCAGCCTCTGAAGGTACCGTAGCACCTCGGACGCGGGGCGGGAATGCCTGGCAAAAACACAGAATTCCGGAATTTTGTTGCTCTCTCTCAAACAGGTGTTATGATTACGTACTCTAACCATAGGATACTTTCTAAAATACATTTTGGTCCTCTGTTTTGGTGGCAGAACATGCAAATATAATGCAAAATGTAGATGTATGCTTGACATATTTAGCCCAGGCAATTGTCAATATATATTAAAGTATCTCTAATTACTATACTTCTCTGTTTGGTTAGAAATACTTAAATATAATTGGCTTAGGACAAGAAATGGTCACACCTTGCTAAATACATTCCTTACCATCAAATACACAGTTGTGACCACCACAGAGGTCAATTTTGGCAATTATTTCCATATCCTACAGATTCTTGTTTATTCTCAGAACTGATTGACTTGTAGCAATTTTTGGCACCTGTGGAGGGACCTGCAGCGCAGCAAGTCCTTTGCTATCACAACTCTCAGATACCTCTAATGTTATTACAATGAGAACGTGGTACAATGTTTGCTGGTAGAATATAATTTACTAATATTTATAGTGAATAATGGGATTTGAACACTTGGCAGCACAGTAAATGCCAAATTGCATCAAAGCCACTAAAACCATTGGGGCTTTTTCCTTAGAGGTGGCTTTGTAACTTCAGAGCAACATTGGGTGCAAATTCAAGGTTCAATATACCGAGCACATAGTGAGATGTGAAGAGAAGCTGCTCGTTATTGAGAGCTCCTTAACTCAAATCCATTAACTTCAGGGTAACATTTATTCACTATTTGTAAAGAAGTAGTAATGAATAAATAAATGAATATAGATATAAGTAACTGTGGGAAACGGGATTCACAGGTTAAATTATCTGTTGCCCCAAGGTCTACCTTCCTGCACACACTGTGTGTGCACTGGGAGAAATTACTGTGTCTTTGGTGTTGCGTTACATGTTATTTCTTGTTGTTGTCCTTGCTCAGTGTTTCAGCTGGTTACGTGAAGCCTTGTTTAGCTTGCTGGTTGTTCAGTGCCTGTGTGTGCGCTCGGGGACACTCCATCCACTCGTGTCCTGCAGGAGAAGCCGGGAGGGCACAGGCAGAGATTTCCCATAGCAAGGAGAGTTGGCCCAAAGCGACTATTTGCTCCGTCATCTTGGCTATTGCATATATTGCCCAAGCTAATTCTAACCAGTTTGGATCAATTTGTCATTCACTATCAAGGCAGAACTTACGAGCAATTTATCAAAAAATTATCAAAATCCATAGTCAGATATATAGTGTTAAACAAAGTTCTGCAAAACTTTCTGGTGATGTTAAGCTTTCTGTTGGGGCAAAGAATTTGCTTAGATAAGAAATAGAAGTTTTAAGGGAAGGATATGCTGCCATCATATAGGCAGCATATGATGATGATTGACTATAAAATATTATGCTACTAAGTAATATTGAACAGATTGATTTTATATAGTACCCTCAGCTTGCTGCTTGTATTTACAATTAGGTAAAATAAAATGATGCTACAAGAATCCAAGTCCTTGCATATATGTCCATGCTTCATAGCACAAGCAAGGCGATGCCACTCTCCTTAGTTGCTCATTTGCTAAAGGAAAGGAAAACAAACAGTAAGAATAGCTTTGCATTTGTTTTAGATGCAGCAGCCTGACGACACCTCCAGGTTTCCCCAACCTCCAGCAATTTTTTCCCCCCTTCTATCCCCAACCAGACCTCACAGCTCAAACCTGGAGCATGGAGGTGGCTGAGGTCTGCCCCCCTGTCCTAATCCAGCCTAAACGAGTCAATGATAAATGACTTTGACTTGTGGGAGCAGGAGAACCTTTTTCTCTTTAATCTCAAACACTGGAAAACTATATTCTACAAGTCATGGCTGATCCTAATTCTGATGATCCAATCTTTCGATTGGAAACTTCGTCTTTTGACTTCCTGGTCATACCTAACCCCCCAAATCAGGGCCAACCTCATTCTCACCAAAGATGGGAAATCCCTGGCCTGCCCGACAGGCTTTGGGAGGGTTGACTTAGTCCCTTAGTTTCTTTTACATTGATTGAATAAATGCAATTATTTAGAGGGAAAATACAAAATAAGTAGGACACATGGGTGGTACTGCAGTGCTGTTCAACGTCTCCGCGCACGCCGTCCCCGCCTGGCCATGTTTACTCTGGTGTTGTATGATTTTAGATTTATCAAGCTGTACAGGGAGATGTGGGGAAGGGTTTTCTAGAGAGAGAGCCTGCCAGTGTGACTATAGCTGCCAGCGCTTCAAGGAATGCTGCCCCGACTTCGGGAAGCTCTGCGCGCCGGGTAAGTGCCCCCCGCGGCTCCGGCCCCTCGGCTCCGCCGCCCGCCCGCCGCTCGCTCCACCTCGGCCGCGCGCTCCTCGCCCTCCGCCTGCTCCTCCTGCCCGTGTCTGCGCTTTGTCCGTCTGTCTTCTGCACAAGAACAAAAAAAATACATAAAAAAAGTTATAAGCAAAAATCAGGTGGAAATCGAGGTCTTCCAGGGGAAATTTGTGGATATTTCCAGGGAAATTCTGGGGCAAGGTCAAGCTTTTGAGGGCGGTGGAGTTGGTGGGATCTGACCCGAGGTCAGGAGGAGTCAAACACAGCGGGGCCGTTGGCAGAACCCAGCTCTGAATAAGGACCACATCAGTTCTAGAACCAAAGTCCTTTATTGATAATAATGGGAAATGCTGCCAATCAATTGCTATTTCAATATGGTCAAAAACAAAATTGGAAAAAAGGAGACACACAAAAAACCTGAATAATTTTGGTGCTGAACCCCTTGTAGATAGCTAAAGTTCACGCGATATGTTTTGATGCAGAACAAGTTTTTTTTATATGCTTTATATATATGCAATTTAAAACTGCTCAGTGAAAATAAATTCTGTATGGAAACAGTTGGAAAATCCTGAATATATCTAGCGCATCTTATTATGAATTACCAGTGTCAAAAATATTAGTGACTTGAATAACTAGTGCTCCTTAAAACGCCCTGCAGTTCCAGGGGACATGAAGTCCTAGGCTCAGGCTTGTTAAGGTCCAGCACCAAAGGCTGAGCTTTGCTTAAAAGATAGATACAGCAATACTGTAAATGCTGAATTCTGCCCTCTCAGCCAACACCTGCTCTTCGCTCTTCTCAGCCATTGCAGAAACGTCAGGCATCATTTCTGAATGCAAACCACCCCCCTATAAAATAAAAATAGTTCTCATCTTGCACTTGGACCCACTCTGCTCAAGAGGCTTTCAGGACCTGTCTGCACAGTAATCCTAATATCACCATATAACCTTTTAATTGCCAACTGCTATTTTAAGCTCTGAATGCCACCAAAATGACAACTTCAGTATGAGAGTCATGCACAAAGTAGATTCAGCACAAGAATAACTGACCAAAATATTCTGCAAATATTGAATGAGAGCAAATTCTTAGGCCAGTTCCATAAGATGCAAAGGACCCTCAAGAAATTCTAACTTCAGACCTAGTGTAATCAGACCTTTAGTAAACAACCATAATAAAGACCCATTGAAGGTACTATTGAATGTCAATAAAAATAATTTTTTATAGATAAACATGGCTATATATGTGTATATACTTAAATATGTAAATATAAAAAACACATATATACTTTTTTTTAAAAAAAGCAGAAACATGGTAGCCATTGAAGCTATTAGAATCAATAGTGAAGTACTAAAAGCATATAGTTACAAGTTTATGCCAAAGTATATCAGGTATTATTAATCTAACATTAATAACCCAAGAGCCATACTAAATGGGGATAAGATTTCCAAAGAGTCACTTTAATTTGCACAGCCATCCAGCTGCACCACATGCACACAGGGTACACTAAGGCATGGACTATTTTGGCAAAATAACTATGTAGGCAGACACGTCAGTGCTGATGCAAAGCAGCATCAGGATGAGGATCTTACCCAAAACCTGGCCCAAAATCACTTTCTGAATTTTTTAAAAATTGCTGATTTAAAAAAAAATGCTGAATTTAAGTTCTATTCAAGAGATCACTGCTATCTGATCAGGGAGATTATAAGTCTTCTATGGTGGGACCTACCCAAGGTGAACTCGGAGGTCACGTTTGTGGTTGCAGCTCCGGTTACAGGGTCTGACCCCCAACCTCACCACTTAAACGGGCCAGAAAACCCACCTGGCCTCCCGAAGCTGCTCTGCAGATGGGGCCGAGCCCCTCGGCTTCACCTTGGCGCGGTGCCCGGTGGCTCCCGGGGTGCTCACCGCGTGCCCTGTCCCCGCAGCGCTCTCCTGCAGCGGACGTTGCTTTGAAGCCTTCCAGAGAGGAAGGCCCTGCGACTGCGATGCCGACTGCGAGAGGTACGGCAAGTGCTGCGATGACTACGCAGAGCACTGCAAAGAGGGTAAGAGACACCCCCCCATCCCTGTGCTTTCCCTGCTTGCATTTAAATACACACACACAGCATTCTTGAGATGTTTCCTGTGCAGACTCACCTCCTGGTATCACTCACATTAGCTCCAAAAATCAGTATTCCATACAATTCAACCAACCTCATTTTTGCTAGCACTAGTGCAAAAACTCCAAATCCAGGAACTAGGGTGCAGAAACTATGTAGATGTTTTCAGAGCATCATAGATTTCAGAATATCATATACATTGCACTGCTTGTTGGTCTTGCCAGCCTCTACCTGACCAGCAATCAGCACCAGGACCTTTGGGCTGCTTGCAGGGTCTTAAAACAGAGCAAATTAGCCATTGAATAACAGCTAACTTCAGAGTGAGGGTTTTACTGAATCACACAGGTAGGGCTACCAGAAACCCCCACCAAGATAACAACAAAACTAAAAAGCTTCCACAATATAAGTAGGAAATATCAGTATTCTGCTCTGTTCAGGCTATCTGAACATAAAGCTTCAGTCTCTCCTTGAACTCAACCTGCTGAAAGTTAGCCTAAAATTTAGAGCTTGTGCTGCTTCCTTAGGCCATGCCTAAGTGGAGGCTCCCTTCTCTTCAAAAGGAAAGACTTTTTTTTAAAAAATGTGCAATCCTGTCCACATAGAATTATGAGATATGTGAAAAATTGCAACATAACTAATTCTTCAAAGCAAATGCTCAGCTTGTTCTGGTGAAAAACTCTCCCACTAACAGATGATTTTATTTCTTTCAGCACATGCCACAAAGCCACCACCCGAGACTTCTCCTCCGGGAAACAAATCACCATCTAAGCGCTCATCCCAAAACGAGGAGGAGAAGCCAAAGGAAGTAACACAACCCCCTGAAGTTGTGGAAGGTAGGAAAGAACAGGAACGAAACAGGATGGGTGTTACCTGAATGAATATGAAAGAGCATTTTTTCCTGTTCTGGGTACAGGGAGCCAATGTGGGACATTACCAGACGCTTACCAAGCTTGGAAGCACTTGGTTTGTAAACTTATTACCTCACTTAGGGTCAGGAAAGACTCTACCAGGTCTGGAGAGTTCACAACACAGATGTTGAAAGTGTGGTGATGTCTCCTGGGTCTTTATTGCATTTTCATGCCTATCTTTACCAAGGAAAGTTGCTGACTGTCAGTTCTCGTGAAGTCCACAGCTGCAAGATGAAGAGGATGCTGTTTTGGGATAGTGACCCTCTGAGAGAACCAAGATAGGAAGATCTCCTAGCAGGTCTCACTAATTTCAATCAAGCCAGACTTCAAACAGCTTCAGAAATCACCCATAATTTATTTTTTTTCTGAATGGAAAACATGCTGTTCTCCAGTGTTTTTGATATTCCTCATTTTGAATGATAGCTTGAGAAATCGGGTTGTACTTGAACTCTTGAAATAACAAGAAATTAGACTATTTGGCCTTTTTTTAACCCCATAGGAATTATTTCTAGAACTTGAAGCACTTGCCTAGCTGCTGTGACAGCTTCCTATCACAAGATGAGCATGAATCGAAGTGGTAAAATGAAACAAAAATAAGGAAATTCAAATAACTTAATTGATTGCACTTGAACTATGGTATTTTAAACACATCAAGTAGGAAAAAAAAAGCTATTCTGTTATGCAGGACTCCGCATACAGTCTATCTACATTAATTGCACCAGGACGCAACCATTAGCATTAGCTCAGACGTTTGAGATTTTAGGCACTTTGGTGATGCTGCCCTGCCTTTCTTTCATGTTTCCAAGAAAAACAAGTGTCAGTGCAGTTGTATTAAGAGACATTAGCACAGAAAAAGTCATAGGAAGAGAAAAAAATAAAAAAAGAGAGAGGGGGAGAGAAAGAAAAGACTGAAAAAAAAGAACCAAACTGCAAAGCATTGCAGAGATAAAGCTTAGCAAGATATTAAAATGCAGAAGCATTTACTGCTCATTTTTGATTAGAAGAGCTGCAGGTACAATAAGGTTCAAATCAGCATACCCATAAGCATCAAAGACAGCCTTGAAGTAGATGCTGCAAAAAGTGAAAAAAATGTCCAGGATTAAAAAAATCAGCTGAAGGCAGGTATTTAAATTCAGGAAGTTATTTCACCTCTAACTCTCTCATTCTTCTCCCCAAGAGACAACTGCTGCAGCTGCCAAGGCAGCCACAACCACCATGGAGCCTCCCACAACCCCCACAGCCACAACCACCACAGAACCTCCCATGACCCCCAAGGAGGAGGAGACAACCCCTGCAGCCACGACCCCCAAGGAGGAGGAGACAACCCCTGCAGCCAC